TCATTTCATTTCATTTCATTTCATTTCATTTCATTTCATTTCAGGAGCTGCTGGCCTTATTTAGCATGTCCACAAAACCCTGGATCAATGCCTTCAGCAAACAACAACATAAGTCAGGGTCCCCCCCCCCCGCAAAAATATCTGAAACATTCAACTTCTAAATCCACAGATCAGGGTTGTCTACTCATCCCTCTCTCTCTCTCTCTTATACAAAAGGAAATGCCTTGCAACTAAGTGGTCAAAATGCACATGCCAAATTTTAGAGAGTTTGCTTTTCATTTCTCAAAATATCTCAGGGAAGCCCTAAAATAAAAGCCGCGCCTCTCAAAACTTAATTATAACTATACCCACATTCCTGGCTTGTTCAAACATGGAAACTCATAAGCGTAAAAATATATTCCACTTCTTGAACCCATTCTAGAAAGGGAAAATACCTGGAAGAAGAGACTCTCGGCATACTGCCTCCAGAGAGATTCTGACCGTGGTTTATTCTGACAGTACTTCTCATACATCTGAAAATCTTCCCGCTGCAGAAGGGACAAAAAATAAAAACAGAAATCTGTATCTAAATTCAAAGACTGCAAGAGAGCTTCCAGAGTTAGATGAGAGCAGAAAGGACAGTGGTGTCCCTGGGCCCTTCCCGGATCTACGGGATTTCCATCCCTGGTGTAAGGGGACCCACAATCTGTTTGCAAAAGGTGTTTACAAACCCTTTCCAAGAAACAGTATCCAACTCTCTCTGGTGCTTCAAGGCAACTCTCCAGATGGTGGAGGAAGATACTGCACGACCAGGAGAAGAAGAGAAGAAGCATAGATAAATATGCATTCCCTGGATTTATTTTGAAGGCAAAGGAAAATGGAAGAATGCGGATTTCGGGGCCAGCTTACTTGTTGTGGAAGTCGTAAATCTCAGGCATGTTTCCAAAGAGAACGTCTTTGCAGCTTCTCAAAAGGGGTGGTAAGAGAAAAGCCATTGTGGGGTTATCCATCTCAGCTCGGTACCCCTGCCAACAGCATCACCCAATTTAGCATTCGGCATCCTTAACATTGAGTATCGTGAGCCAAAATGCAGCCTTAGGCACACAGCCTTGTTCAGTGCTGGGATATCAGGTTTAGTAGCATTTTAACATTTCTTTTTTTAATGCAAAAGTACTTTTCTAGGGTCCTGTGAACAATTCCAAGAGATCCAATTTCCCTTGGCTGGAAAAGTGGACATTGATAGCTGGCTTCTTCAGAAACTGACACATAATTCAGACTGTTTCACTCACTGAGCAAATATCTGAACTGGCTCTCTTTTGATAGGCAGCAAAGTCTTAACTCGGTATAGCAGGATCATCTCTCTAAAATTCCTTTTCTCCTGCTTGACAGTTTCCAATATTTGGCAATCAAAATCATCTTGACTCTGGTAACACAAAGTCAAGTCATCCTTGGAAAAGGACATTAAATCCAAGGAGAATGTAACTCTTCAGCTGCCCAGAGAAATGTTATCTTGAGAATTACTTTGGTTTGCCAAGAGACAAAGCCATGCTAGCTAGAATGTGGGGCCATGCTAGCTGGCTTAATCTTCAGCCATCACATTCCGTGAAAGCCCAACCTTCTCAAATCCATATATTGAACTAGAACAGTGTTTCTCAACGTTGGCAGTTTGAAGATGTATGGACTTCAACTCACAGAATTCCCCAGCCAGCATGCTGGCTGGGGAATTCTGGGAACTGAAGTCCATACATCTTCAAACTGCCAATGTTGAGAAACACTGAACTAGAAGTTCTGGAGCAGGGAATCTGCTCTACCAACCTTGACTTCCTAACATCAACTGTATGCTAAATGTTTGCCCACTTCCAACATTCCCTTTCAACCTATGGATGAAAATGGGGAAGCCCCTCAAATCTGACACTGCTTTAAATCTGTTTCCAAGGTGATTTTAAAAAAAGGAAAAAGAACTTCTATGGTGGCCAAGTCCCATTAACTTTTAGTTTATCTGAGGATATGGGAAAAGACGTGGAGGATGGGCACAGAAGTCGAAGAGGAACACTAGATATATTTAACGGAGCAGTTAAGAGGTAGGAAGTTGTCACAGAGCTGGGCGACCTTATACACGTAATAAAATAAACCAATAAATAAATACTTACCATCAAAATGGTGAAAAGCTCCTCAACGTACACTCGTTCTGTTTGTATCAGTTCATGTATGACGCGGCTAGAATGAAACCAAACCAAAGAAAGCCAACAGATGACTCTACAAGAATTCCACAAACCAACAGCAAACCAAGACGAGCAGCTGAACCCAGCTTTTGCTAAAAGCCAGGAAAGATTTTAGCCTTCAGGCTTACAGTCCTACCGGTGGGCTTTTTCATGGATCAAGAGTTTTTAACCGTCTTAACTAACAGGACCAAAGGCACTTGTTCAAGGTTTGCTTGGTTGCAGTAACCGGATCCGTAAGCGCGAAA